CGCTTTATCTCTTACAACTATTCATGGTATATCTTTCAAAAATTGCAGTACATAAACTAATCTCTCAAACAAAAAAACAAAAACAAACAGGTACAAAGGTTTTCTGAAAGATTGTCCCGGTGGAGAATTAGACAAGAACGAATTTCAAAAAATATATAAACAATTTTTCCCATTTGGAGACCCATCACGATTTGCCGAATACGTTTTCGATGTGTTTGACGAGAACAAGAACGGGAAAATCGAATTCAAAGAGTTCATATGTGCGTTATCGGTCACATCTCGGGGAAAATTAGATGAGAAATTATTATGTATGGAAGATAATTTTCCTTTTCTGTGGTTACTTGGTTCTTTCGTGAGATTAATCAAATTTGTGGACGCATTATTTTAGGGGCATTTCAACTTTACGATATTGACAATGATGGGTTTATAACGCAAGAGGAAATGTTGCGAATTGTTGATGCTATATACAAAATGGTGGGGAGTATGGTTAAATTACCTCCCGACGAGGACACACCTGAAAAACGTGTGAACAAAATATTTGCCTTAATGGACACGGTACGATTCTTTTTTGCCAGGTGATTCATAAAAGTATTTCTTCACACGATCTAACGTCATTTTTTATTTTTCTTACGTTAGAATCATGATGGGAGATTAAGTATGGAAGAGTTCAAAGAAGGATCAAAACAAGATCCCACAATCGTCCAAGCATTGAGTTTGTATGATGGATTGGTATAATAATAATGATGAATGCGATATACGAAAAGACTATCTCGGAGGAAGAACATTTAATCCATTAATTTAAATTATTTTTTTTATCATCTTTTTTTTCCTATTTCATGACAATCCAAACAGTCAATATCAAATTTTTTTGCTGGATCGATTGCTTTTGATTGTTTTTTGTTCGCAAATCCAATACTCACGTCATCACCAAGATAAATAATCATTAATACACGTTACCAAATAATTCTTTTTTTCTTTTTACTTACTGTTTTACATGTAGAACACATAGGAAAACCTCATTCCAATCCAATCCGTATTAAAACATAGAGAAATAATACTAATTAGTTATACTAGTTGTACCCTTTATTAATTTTGTACAGATACATGTATATTAACATTAATAAGAATAATAATAATAAATAATAAAAAAAGTAATGAGAGCATATATATTTGCAGTGTAATAAATTCCTTCATTTAATTTTTCTGGCGTGGCACATCGCATGGTGTGTATCGATATGATCTGTTCGATTTCGAGAATTCTATAATCATCATATTGCACGAATAATATGCTTGAATGCACATTGTTTCACCAAATGATGAATGTAGCAAAAAAAGAAATTCTACAATATCGATATATACAATATAATTCTTACATGCATCAATCAAGTAAAAGACCATTCAAAATAGTCACGAGACCCCACGCGCCCGGATCTGGAACAGACGCTGCTTTTATCCTTTCGTCAGAAATGTAGGAAGCACGACCTAATTTGGCTTTCAATGTTCTAGTATTTTCTGCGCCTTGTTGAGCAGCATTTAGCGCAGAGCTCAAAGCCTGAACCGTATCACTGCTGGCGTTTTTCGTGAACGTTTCGACAAAAGGAATTAATGCGTCCATTAATGTCCGATCACCCACTTTAGCTTTGGTGTATAGAGAGAGAGAAGTTAATGCGATCTAGAAGAAATATTCGTTATTTCATTTTTTCATGGAATCGATAAAGTTTTGACTGTTTATTGTTACTCGCTTTCAACGATTCAGCCCAACATTTTGCATCTATTGATATTGAATGACTGTCGGGATGCTTAGTAGCCGTAGACAATACTCCATTGGCTAACGCATTTAAAAAAATGCTATTTAAAAATTAGATCGAGCATTGCTTGATAATTTAGAGTTTTTTAAAAAGAAAAGTGATAATATTATGTGATCAAATTTACCAATATATTGCTCCACTAGTTCCTCCCATGCTATTCTCCAAAATATCGCTGATCTGTCTAATCGCCTCGGGAATATTTTTTGTGTTAATTTTGTGTCCGTCAAATGCATCGAGGATTGCTAGTTGATTTTTTATTTAAAAGGTAAGTTTAAATTAGAATCGACAATAACAATTTGTACTTAACTTACCAGTTGCCCCATTCTTCAAAGTCGAACCACAATCACCATCACCCACTATCGTATCATACTTGGTGATTTCCGGTTCAGCTTTTATGACAGCTTGACACGCACGGGTTACAGACCTTTGGAACGAACTCGGATCAACTATTTGAGACAAATAAACACAATGAAAAAATTAAAGAGTCACTTCCCTCCTAAAAAAAATGATTTGTTAACTTTTACTCTACCGCCAATTGTGTATTCAATATTATCGTTGCTTGATAATCTACTTCTAGAGACCTTTTCATCGAGATCTTCTTGTAACCCCGAGCTGTCAACAACAATCCGATTTTGCCAACCGGGTACTTGAACTGGCTCATCTAGGTATTTCAATATCTTTTCCCCTTCTTCAATCGGTAATTTTAGGATGGTTAACGAAGCTCCAGGCATATTCAAAGAAGTCATAAAATGGCCTAGGTAAACTCTTTTTACTTGAAATTGTTTTTCCTCTATTGAAGGAATCAACAATTGAAACATTAATACAAAACAAATGTTGACGCAAAAAATCTAAATTAAAACTACCTAAATATTCAATTGCGTCTTTCACCACGACACCTTCTTCGATGGCAGATAATCCACCGAGATTGTTCACCAGTAGTGCAATTGAATCTCGGGTTGGTTTGATGTCAAGAAAAGATCTGTCTAAATCAGTTGTGTCAATTATTGTGTCAAGCATTATACGAACTAATTCCCGTGATGATGGAAGACTTATTTTTTTGTTTGAGAGATTAGTTTATGTACTGCAATTTTTGAAAGATATACCATGAATAGTTGTAAGAGATAAAGCG